GGAAACACTGCAGTTGCGAAAATGTGTTTTTTTACATTAACAGAATATCGACAAAGTTTTGCACACATTTGTAATGGAAACACAGCTACTGATACTTTATTATGGTATAGTATTTAAATATATGCCTGAGAAACTCATAATATTGCCTCTTTAAGTACAGTCCTTTGATTTGAATGATTCTGTCCTGCAGTGTGACATGATTTGTTTGTGTACAAACTAATARACCATCAGAGTTTTATATATTTATACTTCTCATTCAACCACAGTTAAATTCACTCTACAGGAGGCTCAGTTTATATGGATAGTTTTTAATTTTTACAACAACAAGCTGGAATCAAAACAAGAAAAAAAAAGTAACGACTTTCTACTTCATGACGGTTTAAAAAATGTTAAGAAGTAAAAAGTAGGTTGAGAAATAATGACTCAAGTAAAGTACAGATACACAAAACTTCTACTTAAGTGCAGTAAAGTATTTGTACTTAGTTACAGCTGCGTGACTCACGTTGTCCTGCCGGCACTCCTCCAGCGTGTTGTTGGTGGTGCTGAGGRGCCCCAGCAGGACCAGGATCTCCCCCTTCAGCCGGTCCTGGTCCTTCCGGGCGTCCCGCACCAGGTCCTCCAGGGCCGCCCTGTCCTTGGCGAAGACCACCTTGGCCCCCTCCATCTTCTCCGTGGCGTCCCTCAGCTCGGCGCGGCACTGGGCCGAGCCCTTCATGTCGGGCGAGGTGGCCCACACCACGATGATGATGATGGAGARGACGGCCCAGAGCGCCAGCAGCCCGATCACCACCGTCTTCACCCTGCTGGGGCTTTTAGAGTCGCTCATGATGCTGCTGCTCTCACTGAGGCTCAGGTCCAAGTGAGCTGGAGTTTCCCTTCAGAGGAGGCAGGGAGGAGCAGGGAGGAGCTCCTTCGGGGGGGGGGGGGCAACACCCCTGTCCCCCCACCAACACCACCACCACCACGCCCACATCCAACCAAAACCTCCCTCCTTCCTCCCCCCAGTGTTATCAGGTTCAGAGAGCATCAACAGGAAAGTTACATCACAGTTACACACACATGGAAAGTTTGGTTTGTTTGTGTGTGTGTGTGTGTGTGTGTGTGTGTGTGTGTGTGTGTGTGTGTGTGTGTGTGTG